TAATTACTAACGCGCATCGCATTGGGAGAAATTGTGACATATATTATGCTCAAGCTGCGCATTTAAAAACCATGGATTGATTGATACTTTATGGCAAACAAAGCAATTTTTATTCGATTAGAAAATTTCTGGTGCAATAGCGACTACATGATTGGAGATACTTGTATCATTTGAGTATGCATAACACAAAGAGATTTATTGCACACTTTGACTTGAACTTGCACTTTAGGACTTGAGGGTATTGCCTTTTGAGGGTAGCAGCTTAATTCGCTTGAACCCACTCTGTGCACCCCTCCATGCAGCGAATCCAGTCGTCATCATTGATTGTAAACTTGACACATTTATTAGGTTCAGAGCAGTGTAAAGGTGAAAGTATAATGCACATTATTGATAAATGCCTGGAATTCTCGATTTATAGGGATAGCTTGTCAATTCTTGAACTCTCGTCAATGTTGACGACGAAGCCGTGGAAAGGCAATGCACGCATCCAACGAGATCAAAAGAGCAGGAAGAACACTTCATAAAACATTGTCATTGCAAGTAACATCGGCCACGATAAGTTCATAGCAGTTTTGCCTAATTCGATTACACGGCCAAATTTCAGAAAATTTTAGGACTGAAAAAGTCTTTGCAGTAAAAGAAATTATTAGCACCGCTATCATTTCCGAAAACCTTTGTTTTTTTCCTTTTAGCTTCATCTGCTAACAGTATGTAATCTTGCATTGAGGCATTTTTGAAACTTGTTGAAAAAATTTTTTTGACGGTTTGAAGTACTCAGACAATTATTGCGAGCACCCGCGGCCCCTAACGTTGGCTTTTGGCGGTGCGCGGACCTTAAATTCCTGGACTAACCATCCGTGGCCCTTCATTTATTTGCTTGGCGACCCGCGGCGCAACGTTATTGCGAGGGAAGGGCCGCGGACTCTAAATATTTTATCGGAACACCCGCGGTCCAAGCAAAAACACTCGGGCGAGCCCGGGCCTTACTGAACGCACCGTATATATAAAGTTTTCGGGCGAGCCCCGGGCATTAACAGAGTCTCTGCATCGGGCAAGCCGCGGCCCTTAAAGATAGTGTCTCACCAAAGTTGAGGTCGCGCGGATCTTCACATATTCTATTATAGGGACCTCTAAATAGGCCAATGCAGCAAGTCCCACTCAATTTGATCTTCTCCACGCTAAGAAAAATTCGCTCAAAGTGGTACGCGGAGAGCGACTTGGTACGCGCGGACGACTCCTTCAATCTCCCCCCTTAAGCGTTTGAACATGTCCCTCCACTTGGCATCCACCTCCCCTCTGTTGCTGCCACTGTGGCTGAGGCTAAAGTTAGAAGGCACAACTCGTTCGCGTTGCTTTCGTGGGGCCTCCAGAAAACGGGGTTTTGGGAACTTCAAGCGATTTTAAGCCCATACAGTGCTAGACAGGGTCCGACAGGCCTGAAATGCAAAAATCTCGGCAACTTAATTTTGGTGGGACACTGCCTTTAATCGGTAAAGCCGCGGGCCTTAATGGACGCCACGCTATAATTCAAATCCACTTAAGCGTTTGTGGTTGGCGTTTGTTTCTATTGCGCGATTGCGTTTTTGAACAGCGCATTTGTTTACTCGCTTTATGTCGCAGTTCTCTTAAACTATTTGCTTTTTAAGTTTACTCTATCCTTTTCTTGGTTTGAACAGTGAATGATATTTAGCTTCTTTAAAATCGTTCATCACTATTGAAGCCTTTCTTCCTTACTGATGAGTTCCGGGAAAGGCTCATTGTTTTTTTTTGTAAGTGTAATCCGTCTAAGGGAAGAAACGAAACGGACCTACCTTATTTACTGTTGTTTCTTTGCAATCATAAAGTTATGTCTTCATTTTAATTTACATATTATATTTGT